GGAGGCTTTGTGTGCTCCCCCAGCCAGAAGCCAACCAGGGCCTGGGGGAGGAGGGAGCAAGGAGGAGCTGCATGAAGTTTCCTTCGCCCTGCCCCAGCCCTGCAAGGAGCTCGTGGCACTTCAAAGTGCCACAGGCTCCTCGCAGGACGGGAAGAGGCTTCCTTTGTGCCCCGGCCCTGACTGGCCTGGGGGTGGGGGAGCATGCCAAGCCTCTTCTAGGGCATGGGTGCCTAGTGGGAAGGGAGGGGCAAAGGGGCTCCCCCAGACAATCATGGTCCTGCCCCTTCCTGTTTAGACCCTGCCCCTTCCGGGGTGGCCCTGAGCTACTTCAAAAAATGTTGAAGTGGCCCCTGGGCAAAAATTCTTGCCCACCCCTGCAGCATACCATGCCATCCTCACTTCTGTGCTGCTGCCGCTGGGGCCGGGGCAGCCTTCAGAGCTGGGCTCCTAACCAGTAGCCACTTCTCTGCAGTCACTTGGCTCTGGAATGTGGCTGTGTAGGGGAGACCAGATTTCATGTTCTGTGACAAAAGTTCCCTGTAAGCTGTATGCTGGTGCAGCTCAGGAGAGAATCAAACCTAGCTCTTAGCAGAGCACCCACACCTAGGTGGTTTGTTGCTATTGCAGGTGCACATTTGCACATGCCTCAGTGCACATAAAAATTATTCCACAGATGGGTGGAAAACCTTCACACATAGATGAAAAAGATTAGAGAGAAAGTTATCTGTGATGTGTTTTTCATGGATGTGAATTCAGTAGGGACCTGATACTGAAGTTTTTTACCTTCCTTGTGTGTAAAGCATTTTTCTAATTTTTACAGGTTCTAAACATCCATGTTCTTGACCTGTTAACGTGATTACTCTTACTTGCATTTATCAGATCCCTGTTCTGGGGGAGGAGGAATGTAGTCTAAGATTACATAGAAAATATAAAAATGTCTCCAACTATAGTTTTGTTGGGTATTCCTCCTCAAAATGTTTCTTATGAACCTCCACATACTAGTTCCTTCTACAATTTTAAGTTAGACGTACACAGGGATTTCAGAAATGCCACCCAAGGAAAAAAATGAACCAGTCTGGAGAAATAACTTCTAAAAAAAATGAATAAAAAACACACCACACAACCCACACACACCACAACAACCCACAACACATACCCTGGAGAATAGAGAAGAAAAATTTAAGCGTATATTTTTAGTTTTAGCTCAGTTTGCAAAATCAAAGACGTGCTAGATATAAAGCTTTCTGCTAATATTTCTTTTATACTTGGTTTCAAAGATATACTAAGTAAAAAATGAGAGGTCTAAAAGCACTGGCCTTAGATGACAAATAAGATGTAACATTCTGCAAGTTTTGTCATTCCAGGCATCAGCACATTATGGGTGTGGATTGTAGCTGAGTAAAAATATGGAATGTGAAGAGAGAGGATACATTATAGCAAATATTTGCTCAATATCTCTCCCCCATGCTGTGTCCCTTCCCCCCGCCCTTGCCATGCCAGTCCAGGCCCCCCCTGCTTCCTCCTCTCCAGGCCCCTTTTCCCCCCCCCCCCACTAGACTGGCCCCTTCTCCCTCTCCCACCTGCCCCGACCCCCATTTTCCCTTCTCCCCCGTCCCTGCCAGTCTGAGCCTTCTCTCTCCCCCTCCCCCCCAACTTTAAGCCGCCCTCTCCCAGCCATGGCACGCACCAGGCCTGGCTTGAACCCTGGTGGCTGGGGAGGCACAGCCTACTGAGGTGGGGAAAGCAGCAGCACAGGGGGCTGCTGTCATTCCATAATGAATATGCAAATAAAATTGTACCCATCTGCCAAACAGTTTGTGAATGGGTTTGCCGGTCCGTAGTATAAAAGGTTGGGAACTAATGCTTTATTTTGGAAACTGTAGGGTTACAGGCAGTTTTCCATTTTTGCTAGAAGTCATAGTGGAGGATAGGAGAAGTGCACAGAACATTCACTCCTTAATTGAATGGACATGGGGTTAATTTTTAACCAAGACACCCATTTTTCCAATTTAGGTTTGGGATTTTTTTTTTTTTAAACAAACAGTAATCTCCATTCACATTATATGCTGCTGATTTTTCTCCTCCCCAGTTAGGCATCTTGACCTTTCTGACACTTCCTGGCAATCATCTGCTATAAAACTTCCCACCTTGCTTTCTAAACCCTCGCCCTCTTCTGTTATTAATACCATTATCTTCTCTTTCACTCAACATTGGGGCCACATTACACTCCATTCTATCTTGCCCTACACTCTCACAATGTGGCCAAATCCATATGGTTACTTCTTCCACTATAACTTTTTCAAAGTCCCACTCTTGTTTAAGCTTCCATTTCCTTTCACCTTTTCCTCTCCCCAATAGTTACTTGTTGCTTTCCCTCTTGAAATCAGTGTATAAGCTTTTTAGACAACTGACTATTTAAAAATACATTTTAAGTACCTATCTCAGCTGAGGCCCAAGCTTGATTATGCCACCTCAACACTACCACAGTATGAACAATAGCTATTTCCCAATTAGGTTTCACTTCCAAGG